CTGTAATACATAATAATACATCATATTTTAAATAATGATAATACAAATTAAGTAAACATGCAAATCGATACAGTTTTCTTCAAAATATCGTGAAGCGTAGTTTTTTTTTCTCTCAGTTTTGCAAAAAAGTGTGCATATATGGATATATACAACGCATTCTCATCCCAAGGCGTCATATACGACGCTTTTGCCAAAGCGTAGACATCCAACGCACATGGAACCCTTTAGCGTCAAATGACACGCAGATATGTATGGGGCAGAAGGCACCTCCTAGTCTAACCCTACCCCATACCTAAACCTACCATAACCATATAAAAACATGTTTATACAAAATACTTGTACTAGTACTAGTATGACAAAATGCTAAATCTAGTATTAGATGTTTTACAACTGCAATTCTTCAGGCACTAGTTTTTAACTTTTGATAAATATATACCATATACTCACCCGCAGTGAATATAACAAGTAGGTAGGATACATATTACATGGCTAAAGTACATAGAACATTACTTATCTTGTATATTATAGTTTAAATGAAGTAAGTTTAAAGTGATCTAAACAGTGGTCTGACTTCACATGTGTTAAACAGTCGTTTTTCCAAGAGCTTTTTCGGGATTTAATTAGGATTATGGTGTAACTCCTGCAGGTCTGTGATCAGGAACATGAGGAAAATATTACAGCAGGTCCGTCTCTGTTTGTTACTGCGGTCGGAATCAGGGAGATTAAGTTTGTTCTCATTAGGACTGTTTATCAGCCTAAAACAATTAAAATTGAGCAAATGGCATTGAACTTAAATATATGCTGAAAACAATTTGTAAAGAATGCCCCATAAAATGATATGGGTGGTAAGAGCTCAAAAAAAAAAATATGATGGATTCACTTATGCGTGAAAGTGGAGGTTGTGACAAACAGAAGGTACAAAAAAGTGCCACCATTGATTAGGTAGTAAGTAAATACAATGGTACATGAATATAGTATCATTCACTACAATGGTATGTCTTGAGTACTATTGGTGTTGCCATCTAACACCATCGTATCATGGTACATTTGGAAATAATTTCTAAGAATCAGGAAAAAATGATTAGAGATCTGGGCTGGAAACCAAAATCTTTGGTTTGAACCCTAAACTATAGAGTTGCTGAATTTCTCCATCTCCCTTGAGTATGCACTTAATAACTAAACCATATAGAGAGAAATATCCTACCTTCAGGCTGTGTAAATATTAAGAGAAACTTTGTCATGTAGAGCCAAAAACATCTAGTATTGGACAAGCGCATCCTCTGGGCTCGATACGGGAGGGAAAAACATCCCACTACAATAAGCACTTAAACGGCAGGGGCTCATGGTAAGAGTCTGAAGAAGACAAGGGCAGAAAAAAAAGTGATCTAATGACTCAAATCTAAAACTAACAACACCGAAGAACAGCTTTTAGTGTAATCATAATTACACAGTACACACAGCACATTTTAATTTGTATATCAAGGCAGGTTGTATAGTCTGGGATCAGGCAGTGTGTTTGGAGAAATCAAGTGTGTATGTGACTGAACGTGATTAAGTCTTAATAACCAAATGATTAAATATGAATTTATTCCATGTTTGCTAGAACAGACCTACACTATTTTCACTTATATAAACAGCATAAAGATACAGAATACTGTATCATGGCAGATGTACAATATGTACAGTTCAGCAGTATTGTAAATGCTGACAATAAAGTTTGGTTGACTACTTGTTTTAAACACAAAATTTGATTAAATATGGAAATAATAATAATTGCAAACAATTGTGTAAACGTTTAAGATTTTTTCTTTGCTCACTTGTGTATTTCAATTTGGTGAATTGCTGGATATGTTATTACTTGCAGAACTCACTGTTTCAGCACCCCGTCTCACCCCAATGCCCAGTCATAACACTCAAACGTTGACAGGAAATGTCAGTTCTTTATAAGTGAACAAATATTCTCCGGCTCCATCCCTCCCAAGAAACGACAGAGTTACATGGCAAACCGGCAGAAGGGAGAGAGGGAGCGAGCGATAGAATGAAAAGATGACAGAGGAAGGCTGAGGAGACGAGCCTCTCTAATATGAAGGAGTGGGCATGTGAGTTTATCTGAAGGATGGAGGGAGAAAAGCAAGGGAAAGAGAGCGTGTTAAACACATTTCATCAAGTAAAGTGGTGATGCTATAAGTTTAAGTTGTTTGGTGACAGTTTTGCCCTTTTTACCCGGTTTACTCTCTGACCAATCACCTCCCCTGCCAGGGGCAGCTAATGGACTCATCCATAACAGTGACAACTAAGAAAAGAACGCTGCGGACCGGCCCACGAGTGGAAGCATTGGGGAGGAAAGGAGAGATGAATTAATGGCTTTCAGCAGCGTGCTAATTACCCCAAAACTCTATTAGCCTCTGGACCCCTGAACACATAAACACAAACACACTCTTCACGTCCTATGTGCAAGCCTGAAAACATTACTACACTCTCAAACTCACATCCCTCACACTAAGCAGTATCACATTTCCTATCCAACACTAAATCACAAGCAGGTGGAAATGCTCTTGTTTAATCTCCTCTACTCACTCTAATCCCATCCCAAGCCTTCTGTCTAAACACACTGATAACCACACACAAGCAGCATATTCTTTTCTTAATGGCTATGACTGGTCCGTTCTGTCTCGCACTCACCATTACTTTCTCTGGACTAATACTTTCTTTTATAGTATTTTTACCCTTTTGCTCAATTTTCCACAGTATTAGTCTTAAGGACTTCATGGGAGACTGCAGGAAATGTAGTTACATTGCAGTACGATGGGTCTTTTTTAATATATTGATGACCAATAAAAATAAAAAAAATTACAAAAGCACACTGATAAAATGAGAATGAAAGCTATTATGGCTGTCAAACGATTAATCGCATCCAAAAAAATAAATTCTGGATTTACATACTATATGTGGGTGCACTGTGTATAATTATTTTATATATGAATACACACATGCTTGTATTATTTAAGAAATATTTTCATGTATATAGATTTATATATAATTTATATTATATATAAATATAAATATTTTATATAATTAAATACATATAAATATTTAATGTATTTATATATATATAAATTTGTTATACTTTGGTTCATGTTGCCTCAGTTGCTTTTAGTCATTTACAAGTTACAAATTTTCTGTGATCTTTCAAACTGATAAATGGATATGGATATATTGGCTGTTCTATTTTATTTTCGCCTGTTAAAAAGAAAAAGGATACAAATCAAACTGGAACAATTTACAGAACTTATTGGCTCATCTTACCCCAGGCCTGATGTTGTTCAAAACAATATATATATACAAAATAATTATACACAGTGCACCCACATATATTATGTAAACACAAACTTTTATTTTGGATGCGATTAATCGCGATTAATCATTTGACAGCCCTACTTTAAACATAAAAAAGATCATTCAAAATATTAATAAATACTATAATAGTAATAAAACAACTGCTTTTAAATAAACATTTAAGATATCAGAAAATAAGTTCATCTCTTGGCAACAGAAATTACCTAGAAACATATGACAGTCTACATATGACAGACAGCACATTGCAAAAATATACTGATAACAAACAATAATCCATGAAAGAAATATGCAAAAACTATGATAAAAGGTCAATTTTATTTGCCTTCTAATGGGTGGGCTCCTTTTTATGGGATGGGCAGTGACCACTAGTTTTGAACAACATCAGGCCTGGGGTAAGATGAGCCAATAAGTTCTGTAAATTGTTCCAGTTTGATTTGTATCCTTTTTCTTTTTAACAGGCGAAAATAAAATAGAACAGCCAATATATCCATATCCATTTATCAGTTTGAAAGATCACAGAAAATGTGTAACTTGTAAATGACTAAAAGCAACTGAGGCAACATGAACCAAAGTATAACAAATTTATGCTATAGTATTTTTGACAACTTAAATCGATTCAGTGCACTATCACAGATTCTGTCTACATTATATTTATGGTTGTTGATCAACATACCCCAGGCCTACTGGATTTGTCCCAAGTCCCAGGATTCTCGGGAAAAATGCTTGAGCCATCAGATAAAGCTACGTTTTGTGTTTTTGTTACACAGAGCTCATCAAACCAACAAAGCAGTGGCTCATTTTTAGCCCCGTCTCCCTCTACTCAGTGTGACCTTAAAACTACTCAGATTTTTCTCCTTACTTCCTCTAATCTGCTTCTCGCCCCCTGGCAATGATTTTCTGCTTTTTTGCTGTTTGTGTTTATTCTCAAATTCTGCCTTGCTCTTTAATCTTCCCTTATAAGTCTTCTAGCAGACGGAGACAGAGAGAAAAGACCTAATGATATTTGACCTGACAAGACCCAGACACCTACACCAAACTCGATCAAAGGGTGAATAATAATACAGTCCTTTCTTTCTCTTTCTCTCTTACACACACACACACACTGGCAGTGGTCTCAGATGACCTGTTGTGTTCTACTTCTGTCTCTCTGTGGGTCATTAGCAAAGCAATCTTAACAGGTTATAAAGCAATCTGCCCCCTGAGACTCCCAGCATATTGAAAAACCTCATGCTAAAATTGGCCTTTTAAAAACACTGTAACATAAACCTGGCTGGTGCTCAACATACCACAAACGGCAAACCAAAATAATCTGAATAAAATAATAATTTAAAAAACAGAATTCACGACAGAAACACAAGAGCTGAATGAATCTGTCAAAGGGGATTTAAGGATTAAGTGTTCAAAGGACAAGAATGTTGCTAAAACTATGAAACAAAGAAATCTTTGAAGGAAGGATCTTTCTTAAGCGTCTGTAAATGAAATAGACACGAGTCTTAAATATCTGAGCTGTTACGGCAGCCACTACAGCTAGCATGCACACCTGGATGAAGTGCATGTACATTGTCCAAAATAAATGACACGCATTTCTCTCTTGTATCGTGTTTATAAACATGGAATGTTTGAATCTGTCGCAGATACATTTCTGAAACTAGAAAATAGATTTTTATTCTTTTTGTGTACTTCCTGTCTGAAATGTACAATTTTTAATATTCAAACTAATTTAAATCTGCAAACGATCACAAAGTCAATGTATTTAAAGTCAAAAGGATTTAATCTAAAAAATATTGCCATGTTACTATCCATTAAAATAAGAATGAAGAGCAAATTTCTCACAAAAGACTGTGGATGTTTAGAAATAGATTATCAGTATCTCAGTACAGGAGCTCAGATTTCTGAACTTATAGACTCCATGCTTTGGCATCTGACCCCTTATTTTAGCAGTGCTGATTTAATAGACATGTCTGCCCCCTAAAGGACAGTGACCTCCATGGCATGTACATTTAGCTTCAGTGCAGCATTCATATACGTTTACAGTTTTGGCAAGAATGTCACAATATTGTGCAGACAGAAATAAAAAAAGCTTCTGAGAAATGTCAGTTTAAATGTTCTTTAAACCACAGAGCAATGTTGAAGAAGCAGTCAGTTTGAGTGTTGACTTTAGACAGCGAGTGACCCTCATCACTGTACCACAACAACCTGAGAAACAGACAAAGAGAGAGAGAGAGAGAGAGATAGAAAGAGCAGGCTGAAGAGTCAGTGGTATTTTTTAATACATTAAAACTTTTATTACGTTAATACTTTTATTAATATTTTATTATTAATACTGCGCTTGTATTAATAATTTTATACATTAATACTTTTATTACATTAGAATGATTTAGAGTGACAGCAAAGACATTTATAAATGTTAGAAAATATTTCTATTTCAAATAAATGTTTCTTATTCATCAAAAAATCCTGAAAAAAGCATCAACATTGATCATAACAAAAAATCTTTTTTGAGCACCAAATCAGCATAGAATGATTTCTGAAGGACCATGCGACACTGAAGACTGGAGTAACTATCCAGAAAATGTTCCTTTGCCACAACAGGAATAAATTATATTTGATAATACAATAACATATGTTAATGGCCAAAACCAATCATCTCAAAATGGGCAAATACTGACTGTTTAAATCAGCCTGGTCTATCAATATTATTAACAAATAATATGAGTATTCAGTATGTTTGTATATTAAATGATGGTGTTTGTTTGTGTGTTTGTACCTGACAGGTGTATTCCTGCTCTTAAGTGCTCTGTAGAGCTCCAGACCCTGGTGAGGCGATACTCTCCTGTCTCTCCCGCCCAGCATTAACAAAACAGGAGCTCGGATCTAAACACACGTACACAGACCACATTAAGGTTTAATATATAAACCTTAAGCTTATTATGCAACACAAGTTATCGTAAATTAATCACTTTTCCTATGACAAGTTTGTACTCCAAAGAGTCCAAAACCTAAGAAATAATCCAAAAACCTCCTTTTAGGGTTATCCTCATTTGTAAAAAATTGTAAAAAATTAAAAATAAACCGCAAAAATTCAGTAAGTTTTAGGGTTCAGTATTCATAACTATCTGTACATAAAACCAATAGAAGTCTATGTGAAATCCCTAGTATTTAGATATATATATATATATAAAATGTGTGTCAGTGTATACCTGTGCAGCGTGTATTATAGGTGACTTCTCGAGCATGGAAGTGAGGGACTGTGATGTGGGCAACTGGTCAAAAGCATACTGAAGCCCAACAGAGGAATATCTCCTGTAGGGGCAGTACAAACACACAACACCATTACAGTTACCTTTGGAATAAAGTTGAATAAAGCTGTTATTTTTGGCTTTTTTGAGCACAAAAAGTATTCTTGTCGCTTGATAAACTTATGGTTGAGGCACTGTAGTCACTCTGACTATTTTAACAATGTCTTTAATAACTTTCTGGGCCGTCAAGTTTAAATTACAACGGAAGCCTATGGAGGAGTGAGACAGAGCTCAGATTTAATCAAAAATATCTTAATTTGTGTTTCGAAGATGGACGAAAGTCTTACGGCGTAAGAACATCATGAGGGAGAGTAATTTTGGGATGAACTAACCCTTATAGAGAAACTGGTTCTATGCTTTTAAAGACCCAAATCAAAATGTACTTTTTTATATTAAAGGAATGTTGCCATAAATAATTTATCTGTGTACATTATTTAAAAAAATGCATTTAAAAAAAAATTGTGTCCTCTTAATCAATGATGATATACGATGATGATGCAAGAGTTGTTGCTTTTTAATGTTTTTGTTAGCCTATCCATTTGAACTCACTAGGGCAATGCTGCTGCATTTTTTTTTTATTCAAACCATTGCAGAAATTGACTCTAAACAGAGAAAAGATCTTGGTTACGTCGAAACCATAACCAAGCCTTTCACACAAAACACATTTTTCTGCTCTGCTTTTCTATTGTTTCTCACATCTTGCACTTATTTAGCTCATTACACCCCCTTGTGGCCTCAGGAGACAAGACAAAAGTGAAATTATGCCTTTTAATTTTCAATATTAGTCATATTTAAGTATAAAATTTGAATGTAGTTTTTCAACCATTTTTACAGCCCTAGTAATAATGAATGTAAACATGATACATTACCAGTCTATGATATCACTGGTCCCGAGCAGCGTGGCGGCATTGATGACGGGGTTTCGTGCTGCACATGCTTTGTAGAAAGCTGGATACTGACCGACCAGATGGCAGGCCAGGAATCCACCATGAGAACCACCCATTACTGCCACTCTATCAGGATCGAGAGTAGTCTCATTATGCAAAGCGCACAACACTGCTCTCTGGACACAAAGAATGACAAACAAGCTAATGCAATACTTTTTTTTAACAGGCACATGTTATTTGTGCATATACACACCTGAACATCTTTGACGTCCTGACTGCCAACATTTCCAAGCAGAGACTCTATGCCATCTTGACCGAAACCAGTGGAGCCTCTGTAGTTCACTTTAACACACAAAATGTAAAAATACTTCAGTGCACATTTTCGATTTTTTTATGTTGTGACAGGAACAAGAATTGACATATGAACACTCACCCATAAGAACAGCAAAGCCAAGTTTGGTTAAAGCAGCAGCTGTGGCATTCCAGTCAGCAGCGAAATGAGAATGAGGACCACCTGCAGAGAGAAATACTTTACTAGAGCTGCGTTTCCACTGGAGGAACTTTCCAACAAGGGACTTTAGGTGGTACTCCGCATGTTTACACCGCAGGAACCAGGGTCTAAATGAAGTTCCGGTAAATATTTTCAGGGGTGGGACTTGGGTGCTGAACATGCCGATTGTTTGAGTTCATGCAGGGAAAGTTCCTGGGACTAATTGTTCCAGGTAATTTCGGTTAAAATGCGGCTTAGGTATGTTTACATGCAGTAATTTTCAACAATCCGAATTAGTCCATACCAATTTCAGATTCTGAAAGTTATGTTTACAACATGAACCCTAAACTTTGCAGTACAATTTACATTTATGTATTCCAAACAAAGCATTAGCACAAACTTTACTATAAGAGGGCTCTCGTAAACATATGCATCATAGCACTGCACATGTGCGCAAGGTATTTTTGAATCTGATAACTCTATTCAAGCATTAACTAGGCCTTTTGTGAATATTGAATGACCTTTTGATTGCAGTTATTTGGTTTAACGTGATTATTTCAGACAACCGTGATTTAGCACATCAGTACTTTCACCCAAAAAATGGTTTTAGGCCATTTATTTATATCTTTTACAGCAGTGTGTCATTAGGAAATATCAGTTTACATATCCAGTATTTCTTTTGTCATCAATTGTAGTAATGTATGCACAAGGAGTCTGACAACAGCAGGTATGATCTGATCTCACCATCATCAATTACATCAAGAAACAGAAAAAACAAAACAGACTAAATCCAGAATAACTGTGGCAACATCTCTTAGATATTTGAAGAAAGGGAAATTTGAATTAAAATGAAATAAAAGAAGAACCAGCCTTACCATGTATATTCACCACTAGAGGAGTTTTTCTTCTCTCTTGTGGACTGTAAGGCTTCAACAAAATTGCTCCAAAATTCAGTCCAGCTATGTAGAGGCAGCGAGGAGGAATGAGAAAAATCACAAAGAAGTATTGCTAGTAGCGGCTGTATATATAATGATAGATCCATGTTACTCACAGAACTGATGGTTCTCTTCTTGAGACGAGGGTGTGATCAACATGGGCTGCCAATAAAATTCCTCATACACATCTGCTCCACCCAGATTACAAAGTTGCAAATCCTCAGCCTGATCAAATGTTGAGAGGAAGCCAACTCTCTACAGAAAACACACAAAGCTGTGTCATGCAGTATCTTCAGTGAAGGTGACTATTTTAAGTGTGTGCGTGTGTGTGTGGTTGTACCAGGCAGGGTGGCTGATTTGGAGACGAGCAGCTCATCACCATCAGTTCTTTTTGTATTGTCAACAGCTGCACACTCCCGAAATCATCTACCAAACACAAAAATACAGAATTGAAGTCACAAATGCAATGACACTGAGAGTAAATATAACAAACAGCCTGAAGTCAAAGCAGTCATGACATCACTCCATATTCACACTACCTAGTCTTAGCACATCCAGCCCGCACACTTGTGAGACTCTTCCTGTGGTTCTGTTGACTGAGAAAACTGCCTAAAAGAACAGGTGGAGCAAAAATCACAAAATCTTAACACCAGGAAATAGAAATTCAGAATCCACATTGTGAAGACAAGGGACTCACACAGGTTTCTATGCAAGCTTTTTTGCACTTTTTTATTATTTTGGTAAAGCACCTGTATTTTTTTGTCCTCAGCTACATGCACATTTATGTATTTGTTAACCTTATTGTTTTCACAGGCACTGCTGAAGAAGATTCTCTCACTGTCTGCAGACCAGCAATGAGACGGCAACGACTCGTATATACCAGCAAACTGACCTGTGAGGAAAGAAAACATTGTGAAAAGTGCTACACAAATTAAACTGACATGAACTCACTCTTCAATGTGTGCATGTGTTTTTTATCCAAGTACCCTTTTCTGCTCTCCTGACCACATCTACCAAAACTGAAGTGCTTTTGTTCTTCATATCATACTAAAAGGGACAAACAAAAACAGAGAAAATAGTTTAATAAATGTAATAATAAATAGAGTATGCATAATATAATTTTAAATGCGCGCGCACACACACAGCGGTTCAAAAGCTTGGGGATAGTAAGAATTTTGAAACGTCTCTTATACTCACCAATTTTGTATTTATTTTATCAAAGTAAATATAGAGTAGTGAAATACTGATACAATTTAAAATAATTGTTTTCTATTGTAAAATATGAAAAATGTATTTCTGTAATGGCAAAGCTGAATTTTCAGCAGTCATTAGTCTTCAGTGACACATGATCTTTCAGAAATCATTATAATATCCTGATTTTCTTATTATTATCAATGTTGTTGTTTTTTGGAAATCATTCATGATGCACTTTTTTCAGGATTCTCTGATGAGAAGAAAGTTTATAAAGCAGCATTTACTAACCCTTTTAATCAATTTAACACATTCTTGCCGTGTAAAGGTCTTAATTTAAAAAAAAATTTAATAATAATAATTATCCTTACTGGCCCCTAACTTTTGACCAGTTGAGTATATATAATATAATAAATATTAAACAAAACACTAAAGTTTAGCATTTCATTAAAACATTCCTAGGTGAAATATTATTACATTATATGTTAAACAATTATTTGCATTCTTACCAACATCATGCTCAGGCACTGATGATGCGGTCCAAAGACCTGGCCCTGTAAGTAGACGATCCAACACGAGTCTGGACTCATCCGAGGGCTTGACACAGACATGCTGTCAGATGACAAGCACTCTGACCAGGTCAAGGGTCAAATTGAACAAAAAGAGGTTATAAAAGTGCATACATACAATCATTTCTTTATATATATATATATATATATACACAAATAAAAAAAATAAAAAAAAAAAATCTCACCACAGTTCCCTTTCATATTCAAGTAGAAGAGAGCTGATCTTGAAAAAAGAAAAATCACAAAATATTATATTTTAAAACATAGTATTTTAAAATCTTGGCACAGTAAGCCAACTGAGATAAGCATCTTATTAAATAGTAGCACTTGAGGATGTAAATATAACTGAATCAAGTTGTTAAAGGGATTGAAGCTTTTTCTAACTCTGCCTCTCACCTACGATTTGAGCAGAACTTCAGACCCAGTCTAAATGGCTCATTCCATTGGCCCACAAACACCACACCCCTTCCATTAGGCCCCCACAGCGCCTTGAGAGAGGGAGGAGTATTTAATAGTTCAGTTATTATTTAAAGCACTTGAATTTGAGATTACTGAATCTGATATAACATCTACCATTTAAAGCCAATATGGCATAACATAACGATTATCAATTGGGTAAATAAGAATAGTGAGATATCTCCGTCTCACCTGTCCTGGTGATATATTAGGAGGGATGCCAGCATACACAATGACAGCAGCTTTATTGAGATCAGCTACACACAAGACTGGACAGCTTTTACCCACCAGCCCCTCACCCCAGTCTTCAATATACACATTCTTATCCTGAGAAATGTCACAAGCTTTTTAAAACCTCAAATGCATTTCTTTTAACATCTAGTTACAACAGTTATTAATGCACAAAGCTACACATGTGATAAGCTCAGTTGAGAAGATTTGATAGACAGACATATCACCTGTTCCTCAAGCAACACTAGCCCTCCATCCTCACTGACTGATGCAGATGACGATTGAGCTGACGGCTCCAGCCTCTTCTTCTCAGCCACATACAGTAACTTCTTTTCACATGGTGACCAGGCCAAGCATGCAAACTGAGCTAATGATGCACAAAAAAAAAGCCACTGATTCACTAAAATTAACCATTAATATCCAAATTACAGAACCACTCAATATACCTGTCTATTTTGAAAGATATTGAGAAATCTTATGACATATAAGGCTTTTGAACATCCAGCAAGTAGCATAGCTTAAAACATCCTCCAAAATATTAACAAAGCATTTATTTAATCAACCTCCAAAAACAGCTTGTTCTGATATTGGGTGACCCGTGACATCATACTGGCAAATACATTTGCATATGACTGCCTCCAGAGCAAGACATCAATGAAGATTTATACAGCATTGTACCATAAGCCAGATTCCATTCAGTCACAAAACACAAAAGAGAGAAGTTTCTTGTTTTACAGTTGTAGACTGATATAACTCTCACAAACCTGAAGTGCACCTCATGTAAAGGTTCCTGGTTCATCCCAAATGAGACATGACTGAAAATGTCTTATGGTCCAGTGAGTGAGTAAGTTTTTAGATTTAAAGCCTCATTTTAGACATAGGCCTGATTCACAACAAAAAAACAAGCTCAATAGTAATTTGTTCACAATTAGCCATATTCGGCCCACGGGCTAATGATTCAAGACTCTTGTTTTGTAACACAGACAATAAAAAAGTGTTTCTTATCTTACCATCTTCGTACACTTTCCCATGCTTATTCAGAGCTATGAGGTCTAAGCTATTCTCCAGACCATTTTGACCCCAAACCTACCAAGAAAAACAAAGAGAATTAATATATTTTATATTTTCCATATATATTTCATAGATATCAGTCATTACCTCCAGGTACTGATGTTCTGCTACCTCTCGGATGACAGCTTGAAGAGTCCCAGAAGGAGACTGGCAGCTGAGCAATCTGAGTGAGAGATGAATTTTGATGACAGGCGTGCTGTCTACTTGTAGTCAAAGCTATCTTTCTTTTTACCTCTTGAGGACACATGAATATCTGCATAAGTGCATATTATATATATATACACAGTTACACACACACATATATATATATAACTTACTCTTTCTCTATGTGTGAGCTTGTTCCAGATGGAAGAACATGCTCTATTGTGTCATGTGTACACAGTAGAGACCATCTTTGAGAGAAATGCAGTTTCACCCCTCTCTCCAAATCACACTGACTCCACCCTACAGAGAAAGAGTGTTAAAACTCTAAACTACGCAAATTCACCATAAAAAAAAACAAACAAACAACAGAACTCTCCACTAAACTCACGGGCCAATACAGTAATGCACCGCTTGTCAGTGGCAGTGTCCATAAGCTCTTCAGTGACCACAGAGGCCGAAATGGGCACAGGAAACCTGATACAATGTCTGAACACATCTCTGATCGTGCTCTCCATTGCAACCTGAAACCACAAACACATTAAACTACAAGTTAACAACATGAAACCCAAAACAACATGAGTAAACAAGCCTGATGAGCAGCCAAACCTGAACCAGCCTTACTGTACTTGCAGGAACAGACTGTTAATAACCCATTTTTTTTATACTTTAGAGCCCCCTGACTAGAGTATATAAACTGAAGTACATAATGTGTCACATACTAGTACACAACAGTATTCAAAACTTGTTACATGTAATGTAACTAATTTTTAATTAGTTACTTGTCCCACATGTAGGCAATATTTCTTGCCCCATTAAATAACTTTTTTTTTTTATCTCACTGGCCTGTATAACGTTATGATAACGATACACTTCCGGTAAGCTCATTAAAATGTTTATGCTGTCAATAATAAAGCAACATATTCATAAAATATACGTTAATATAACCGTTAAAAAGTAGCATCGTTTCCGATCGCACCTAACAATGAATATGGGCCAGAAAGGCGCAAACGAAATATGGCTAAACAATAACAACAGCCACTCCTCCCCAACGCATGTCAACAACGATGAACTGCGCCGTTCGAGTGAAAGTGGACCGTCGTGACAGAAGAGTGAGATCGGTGGAAATCGCTGGAGTGTCGAAGGGGGCCGATGTTTCAACAGCGGTCAGAGAGCTTTCTCTGCGGACGCATCCATTCTGCGGCTATGAGGGGTGGATCGGTTTATTCATCACACTTTTGACACCATGCTCTTTATTTTTGACTTCGCCAATATTTAAGAACTGCTTGTGTTTAAGAATAATAATATAACCCATAGTATCAGGAGCAAAGTATTGGGTTTGCTGCCTTTTTATGATATTGGCTTTTTTTAGCTGCATAAACTGCAACGTTGCTATTTATCTACTTATCTATTTTATGAACCCGTGGGTCCAGATGAAAAGGAATTTCAGATATACAAATATGTAAATGCAGAATGAAACCAGAAACTGCATAAACAAGCGACAACACAACAAAAATACCCTACTAATCTCTATGCCATATTTTCATATTAGAGGTTGATGGTTGGTCTAACAAAATCCTAATTTAGAAAAAATTAATAAATAGTGTACTGACTTTTTTATTTTTTAAATAAACCCTTCAGCTGCACTTATTGCATTTGAAATAAGCCAAGTGATTTATAGGTATACAAATTTACAGTGTACAATTAAAAGATTGGTTAAAAGCTGTTTGAAATTTGGATTTTGTTAGACCATAACCTCTATTATGAAGCCCCAATTTTAGCTTTAATGTGTCCTTTATATAGCCAAGAAACAGTGTTGTGGAATGACTTGGCTGACTGAAAATTGTGTGCGTCTGTTTAGAAGAATAGCTGGAATCTTTTTTTTTTCTTTTTCTAAATAATAATAGTAGTAATAACAACTAACAGACCATTGCACTCAGTACGTTTCAAATGGGTGGATAGACAAATTTTGTCAGTACTATTATTATTCACAAGATAAATTTGCAAAGGAGTCAAATACAATATCATCGCCTGAATTTTCTTTCAAAAGCGCAGGATTTTTTTTTTGTACCAAATCAACGTTCTCCCCAACCTATAGTAAAATGAGGTGGGTGACATCTTTTTTTTTAGTATATGAACGATCAGAAATCCACTTATTTCTGATAACCTCTGATAGACCTTCCCTATTGAGAGATGTCTCATCTTTAGTAGAAATAAGAATGAACAATAAAAATAAGACGCTTAACTAATGACCAAAGATAAATGAAATGGATAGGCTCACTGATCAACTTCTCTGTAAAAACTCAATGCAGTAATTGCACGTATGCCCTTTTCAAATCTTTTCTAATACACAGGCCCTTTTATGGAGATGTGCCCTTGTATTTTTCTGAGCATGTACAGGTCTTACTGGTCCAGTGACTGTTCCTCCAAAAGCAGAAATTCCATTTGTGTGGTCAATGCACATTGACGGACGATGGTGATTTATATTAACATCAGGAGTAAAAAAGGAATGACGTCTTTGAATGTGAGTTTTGATGTTTTTTTTGTTTAAAATCCTGTTGCAAAAGCAGCACATTGTTCGCTTCAGCCTAGACTTAAGTATTTTTTTGTTACTGGTGGAGATGCATTTAGTTGGGTTGGCAAACACAATATCTTGATTGTCCGAGGGCGTTTCAATTGTAGGACGTAAAACAGCAGTCTTCAAGTCTGTCAAGGAACTCGGTGTACGCGGAGTGCTAGAAAAATCTTCTGTTTCTGAGGCACTGTGGTCAACCATGCATGGCGCAGAAATAATGGGAGATCCAGAAGTGCTTGCGACTGGTGGAGAAGTCAAATCTCGAGGTAAACCTTGAGTGGCTAAAGGTTTAGGGATAGGATCGCATGTGGCAGATACAGTTGAGATGCTGTGGGACGATGGAAAGTTAGTTGGTTTTAAAGCACAGGTTTCTCTGGAAGGTTCTGTAGATGGATTGTGAACTTTGGTTGATGCACACTTCTGCACATGGTTAATAAATACGTTTTTTCGAATTATTATTTGACCGCAGTAGCAGCAGTGATAGTGTCCACTATCTATACATCCCAGGTAGCATTTATACATTTTATACCCTGTAAAAAAAAAAGAGAGAGAAAAATATCATAAAATACTTTTATATATGCATATGCATACTTTTACATGCAGACAATCATTTCAGAGACAACATGATTTTGTCCGCTTTTATAACATTTCACAGCATTACTATAAAAAATAAAAATAAAACATACCTCCATGCTTGACAACAGGCCTCTCGTGGGTCTGTACATGTGCCACCAGAGCAGGATACTCTCCAGTCTTTTTACAAAACAGGCATTTGTACTCATTTTCAGCAAGTGAAATAGGTCCAGGAATACTTCCCTCATTCCGGATGGTAACATGAAACTAGAAATAAATTAAATATTTAATGGAACTCCTTAAAAGTCCACATTACTTATAATAGTCACAACCAAAAAGACGAACATTTAATTTACAAACGTTTGTGTGAAGATAGGGTTTCAATACTAATGAACGTATTAAGACACGTCTAACTCTTGACACAAACCGGGGATAAAGAAGACTATTTACAGTTGTACCATTCCAAACACACTTAAATTGAATGGAGACATAGTTGACATCTACTGCAGAGCAGTCCACACACATAACGTTAGGTAAACTAAAATTCCACATGACGTATCACTTTATCAACAACAACTAAGACAAAAAAGCTAATATTTAGTTCAATAACTTACTTTCTCATCTCGACATTGAACCATCTTGACGACATAGAATTCGCGCGTCTATCGTTGAAGCGGCCGTGGGAACGTTGTTGTTGCTGGAAGGCGTTTCTTCTTCTTCTTCATGTTTAATGGCCATTCACTCCAGGCGTATTTCCGCCACAGCGCCACCTACTGTTTAACTTTCATAGGTGATAGTAGGCGTTTCTTGTAATGGACGCAGACAGAGACAGACACTTCTGTCTTATTCTGGTCTTATTGGCCGCCAATATTTTCAAGGGTTCATAAAAACATATTGGTACAGTAAAAACTGTTCAAAGTTGTTTCTTTAGTCCATTGCCACTAGTAAAAGCCTGCATGTTTGCTTTAATGTTTAACCCACCATCTGAGTCAATAGAAACGTACAGCGAAATGATTCTGCAAGTTGCCCCAAATTTGTTTTGTTTTCCCATAAGAAAAATATTGTTCATAAAAATATAGGCACACGCTTGTGAGCATTTCTGTTGTATTGTGGTGATTCGTTGTGTTAACTTGTGTTTGCGTTTCACTGTGTTGTGCACTACTGGGCCACTGTAGGATAGTTCACCCAGAAATTAAAATCTGTCATCACTGTTATGTCATTGAAAAACTTGTATGACTTAATAATGGGTGAACTGTCCCTTTACTCTAAAGCAGCTTTCCCAACTTGTTTGTTCAGAAGAACCCCTTTGAACTAAAATAAGGGCTTACCCCACAAAGATTTTAAGTTAATATTTCAATAATTTAACAATACATAGGCCTATGCACATTCACAATTCTCTGATGTCAGTAAATGGTCACATGACAGTTACTCTTTAAGTGTTTTATTTTGTTTTTATTTTTAAATTATTTATTTTAACTGTCCATTAACAAATCCCCAAGGAATTCATAAACCACAGTTTGGGAAACTCTGCTCTAAAGAGTAAAAAAAAAAAGCAGAATAACTTTGCAAAGGATGAATTTTTCCTCTCACCTTCTGTTGTTTTCGCAAAGGGAGTCTCTGTTGTTTTGGGTGTTTCACTTGTACAGAGGCAGGTTTCTCCTGGTTTAAAACTTGATCTGGGTGCTTCCTTCTTAAATGCACCTGCAGATTCTTCCTGTGCAGCATTAAACCACAGAAAGGACACAGATCTTGTGCGTCGGATCTGGATCTTTGTGGGATGGTGCTTTCAACAGGTGTGTGCCCAGTGAACATCTCATTTACCAAAGTCTTTACGGCGAGATCAGCCTCCATAGGATGAGGATTGGCCGCAGAATTTGAGACAGTGGTTTCTGTGACATTGTGATCCACTACAGAGAGATTTAGCACTGAAGGATCTCCTTCATCCACTGGGGATTTAGATGGCTCATCTGCTCTCACCTGCTCCTCCATAATCCTTCCTTCACCTGAGATTAAAGAGAGTAAAAATATTAAGGTCTCTGATCAGAGCATGCTAATATATAAGACTCACTATACATTACACACTGGATTTCATAGTTCTGTTTTTTGGCTAGCCAGACTTACGAAGAATCAGATTTAAAGTCACCATGCAATCAAAATTGACAATTACTGGGGATTTTCTTTAAAGAACATTGCAGTGTTCATTATTATAAATTATTAATCCGTGCACATTTTTAAAAAAAATGTTGTGCCTTCATAATCTTTCATCAAAATAATTTCTGTTTACTGGTGTCAAGGTGGGACAACCTGTCACTCACATGACATAACAGCAAACCACAACAATTTAAACAATCCAAAAAGTCTCACCATACATTTCTTCACTGTTTGAAAAGTCATTTCATTTGGATATAGCACAACAGGGGGGAAAATGACTATACAAACTTGCTTTTTATTCCAACTCTAAGGGTGGAATGCACTGCACTACTTTTAAAAACAGATTTTTAAAACAGTAGGCATTCACTTGCTGAACGACAGATTATCACACACCTTTCATGTTGTTCTGAAACACACTCGCACAGAAACCTGCCTGAAATATGAATTTTCTAAATTCATCTTAAAGTAACAAACACTTAATGGTCTGAAGTGGAAAAAAAAAAAAAAAAAACATTTATTCGGTCCCCACCATACATTTAGCAATTTTTTTGCAAAATTCTCTGACTCTGACCTCTCAAAATCTGTAGACTGGCTCTAACTTTCAGCAACTAGCATTGACGCATTCAGACTGCATGAATGGGCAAAAGTGTTTTTTCCAGCCTAATCTGCTCATTGATTTTAGAATATTAAATACGTTTTAAAACACCTATAACATCTCAGATTGATCCTAAATGCTCAAAAATATTTCTAATGATATATGCCCTCATCATGTTGTTTAATTCAGCAAGTGGAGCCTTGCCTTAATGCTTTGTGTCTTTATTTTGGCACTAAGATCAAATAACAAGTCAATAAAAATATTCTTATCTCTGTGCCTGATATCACTTCGTTCCTTTGTCACACTGGAAATGGACGGTCAAGACAAGCAAAATTCTGCAGAATGTTTTCTGTTTGATGAGGCTTATCACCTGTGGACCCTTGGTCTGCCATCTCTGAATCAGTGGGCCCTGGGCTCAATGTCTCCTCACTTACAGCCTGCAAATGCACAGGATGAAAAGTGTTTTGTATGTTTATATACATTTCCACAGCTTCAAAAAAATGATGAGATTTAAAAGAATGATTTTTCTGCTATCTATTTATGATGATTCATCTAAATGAATCTTTTCAGTGCATTAGTCTTAAGGACCATTTACACGACTTTTGCCATTTCTGCATTTTGCCCATTCTTTTACACAACAACAGAGTTTTGGTTGCCTGAAAACACAAACTTTTGGAAACGGGTTTCAAAGTGCAAGTTCTTAAAAGGATACAGTCTCCGTGGAACAAAAATGCAAATCTGTGAATATGGTGACTTCTTATACATGCATATTTTGTGTTCGCTTAATAGGCGCGTAGTTTCTTTACAAAGTGACATTGCTAACTACTGGCCTGACATAATTGTTGTGTAAAACGCAACCTTAATGTATATATATATATATATATATATATATATATATATATATATACACATATATACATACCGGTATATACATATACATCAGATCCTTAAGGAATCATTCTATGTATAATACTGATTTAGTGCGCAAGAAACATAAATGTGTAAAAAAGTTGTGTTGCTTAATATTTTTATGGAAACCATGATACATTTTTTTTCAAGGATTTTGATGAATAGACATTTGAAAAGAACAGCATTTATTTAAAATAGTAATCTTTTGTAAAAATGCCTGTCAACCTTTGTCAATTGCCTCCTTTTGCTGAATAAAGTATTACTTTCTTTAAATAAAAAAAAAACTTTACTGACTCCAAACAATGGTGTATACATAAGATACATAAAAAAACAGTAAAAAAAAGTAAAAAACAAAAACAAAACAAAAAACGTACCATTTTAGGGCACAAGTATTGTTCAAAGTTTGCTTTTCTTCGTCTGATTTTCTGAGCATCCTCAGAGATCCGGCTATTGTGTCCATCACGGTCCATCTCCACAGAGCTGCCAGACTCAGATGCAGTCAGATGAAGGTCTGGTGCAGGTGAATTCTTCTCTGATTTCAACTCCACAACTGTTATCTTGGGTTTTTTGTTGTCACACATTGCCAGGTGTTTTAGAAAACCATCTTTCCTCACAAAAGTGGATGTGCAGCTGACACAGTGGAAGTGTGGACCAGTTCGGCACTTTAAATGACATTTGAAAATGAAGAATTCTGGAAGAGAATAAAAAGGAAAGGCGTCCTCTATTATAGACCCATTATAGTAAAAACAAAGAATAATAATTTATTCTTGTGATGTCACTACCTGAGACTTTAGGTAATCAACATTCAATATGCATGTAATTTCTCACACAAATTATTTAATACTAACCTTTGTGTCGTATTGCTCTTCTTCTGTGACCCTGTAAATGTTTCAAACATTTGCTTTTGATGGTGGGTTTGAACATCTCAGGCACACAGAAAGGGCAGTGGTACAAGGAACAACAGTCTTCACATCTCTGCAGAGTTGGCTGCTCCTCTCCTCGTAAAATTGTTTTGTGTAGCTAAGAAGTGAAAATGTAAGAACAAAACATCACCTTAATGTGTCTCCTGATACTGGGCTATGTAGCCTACATGAAAACCTTATTTATTTAGATAAATAATCCATGCCAAAATTATGTTTGCTTGCACCAAATCTATCTGAATCTGCATTTTTATAAATTAAAAAAGGGAATTTCAACTTCTAAATCTATGTAATTTAAAGCAAAATGAATGTCAAAATGTGGACAGGCCCCCAAAATAATACGTTTAAAGGTATATTGGTATCTGTATAAGGCGGGACAATGCATCTATTACAAAAACTCTCTGAAATAACAGCTGATCCTTTGATGGACTTCTCCAGCCAGGGGCCGATTAGCAGGTCTGCAGTTGATCGCTGCATCAGACCGTTACTCACCTGTAGCTTTTCAAACTCTGTATTTTAATACGTTTGCTTATTTGTTCATGACACAATTCAAGGTGATAGATCTGACCTTATTGTTAAGTATGCAGAAACTTTATAATTTACCTCTGTATGTTGACTTGTATGCCTGAACATTTTAGTCAGAGCCCGATTTGTTTGGTCTAAAATCTCGCGAGATTCCCATGAGCGGAGACGTCGTAAATGGCTTTTCAAAATAAAGAGCTACAAAACAAGAGTGCTGAACCATCACACTCAAATCATTCCTAATATATATATATAAATGGACTATCAAGCGCATTTTAACGATAGCTATACAATTGAAACGGGAGACCCAGGAATGTGAGATGAATTTTAACTGTATTTTGGTTTAATGAAAGCCTGCCATAATGTCTTACTACTACAAATACAATTTTTCTGTCAAAAAAAATTGCAACTCTGTTAAGGATAATTACATAATTTATTTCTCTTCAAAAGTCTGGCTGTTGCATACAGTACTTTCACTAAAAAAAAAAAAGTCAGGACAAGGTAGGTTGATATTTAGAAATTATTTCAACCAAATGATAGAAGCATGATCTAAATAGGCACAAATAAGCTTGGGGATAAGAATATTAATTTACTGTGTCACACTTGGAGCCAATAAAAAAAAACCCCACACTTTTCAGCAGATGAGTATGATGTAAAACAGATGATTTAGTGGCAGTGAGAAAGGTTTAACAAACGTCTACACTAACTCAGGAAAACTGCAGTCCAAGATGCATTTTCAATTGTTTGCATCATGAGATCACAGGTGCATCAGCATAGTCCGTTTATAAAATTCATATAGAAAAACTACAAAGAATTCATTTTTCTTGGCCTCTTTCTTTGTTGCAGAACTATAAAAAGTTTGTGAAAAGTGTTTATGATAAAAATAACTCTTGAGGTGGTAAAACAGTTTTCAACAGAAAAGCTTAATACAGCCTTACAAAAGGTTGTTACAAAGGTACAATATTTCATGTTTTGTTTAATTGCAGAATTCCTAGATTCATATCACACTGTGCTGTTAAATAAAAACACTGCATACACACACCCGGCCTTTGCACTCGCACACTGGCAGACATACAATCAGTCGCACGCAAATTTTATCAAGTCTCTGGCTTGGTAGTATGTCAAACTATAATTTCAAGTGAGCCGAGGGGATTTTAAGGATGTAGTGTTTCTCTCTCTTTGTCGCCTTCATCCTCACATCACATCGGCACGTTTGTCCCTCACTTTGTTCCTCAATTTAGTCCGAGCTTTGAACGCAGCAGAGTTGAACAGATGCTGTGAAGAGACAAGCCCAAAGTTACATAAATATCTGTGCAAAAACTTAAATTTAGAATAAAGGGTGCTGCTTTTATTTGCATGAATTGTCTTGACAGATAGTTCAAAAAATAACTGAATCTGACTGCAAACTAATACTTTTATGATGTTAAGTGTTACAGTACGTGCAATTTATTACATTAATAAATGAAAAGACGAGAGATTACCCTCTCGGTGCGGGAGATCCTGCTGGCTTTAACAGATGCATCCAGGATAAGAGGAGGTCCAAGTCCAAAAATATCCCTCAGCAAAGGATTAAACTACACAAACAGACACAAAAATTCTTTATAATAAACACTTTATAGCAGTGGTCATCTATCACAGGCCCTGGAGCACACTACGAAAGCTCAGCAAAAGGGCTGAGCTTCAAAAGGGGCCTTTAGAAGACAAGACAAAACATGCATTAAATAATAATAATTATTAATATTATTTATATACACACACATCTAAGTGTTGGACAAGTTACTCTAAAAAACTAACAAACTAATAATGAATTAGATTACTTAATTAGATCACTGTACTAATTACTCCCTCTAAAATGTATTGCATTACTCAATACTAATTACTTTCATCAACTTCGACCAGGTGAACCATACAAAAATTGCCATGAAAAGGCTGTTTTAATTTTTTCAAATAAATAAAATAGAAAATTTAATGATTTATTCTTGAAATGACTGAAGAATTATGTTACATCAGAATACATTTTAACATATAATTAGTTAGTAATGCAATTACACCCAACAATGTATATATATGGAAATGACAGGTAAATTATTCTTGTCTAGTGAAACACAAACAACTGAAAAAGTCATGTAAAAATCAATGGTTAAAAAGAAGGGGGATCTCTGAAAAAGATTCAGCTTTTCTGGAATTCTTAAACTTGCACATTTTAATTATTATTTTAACAGAAAATTTAATTATTTAATTATTATGTACCAGAGGAAAACTATTAATCTATATACAGGGGCCTTCAAATATTGTTCTAGACAATGGGGAGGCATTGGAGTCAAAACTGTTAAGAACTGCTGCTGGAGAGCACTATTAAACAATGATTTTCTCATTTGTTTTTTATGTGTATAGATTAAAAGATCAGATTTGAATTTTAAGAAACCATTTAAGATCATTTTAAAAATATAAATTGGAATAAAATCTCTATTTGTCTCCAGTACTACATAGTGTTATGTATGCCAACAGTGAGTGGTCCTCCTCACTTGTAGGTGGTGTCTGACTCCAGACTCGAGCACCTCCTTGAAGGCATCATAAATCCTGTGGCGCATCCAGCCATCAATGTAGATGGCCTCATTCCCAAACTGGATCTTCTCCACTGTGAAATCTTCATTCTGAAAATGGAAGGGAATGATTGGTCTGGTGTATGAACATTTTTAAACCAGAATCATCTATGACAGTCCTGGCTCAACCGTATGCAATGTAGCTATAAAATATCTGAATATAATTAACTGACATGATTTAAAAATAAAAAGCCTCAGTAGCAGATCTCCTTTTCACCTCAATGTAGTGCAGCACCTCTCTGAAGATTGAGCGCTGTTTCCTGCGGTCGTTTTTAGCACGATGTTTGTTTCCATCAGTCGCTAGACTCTTTAGACTGTCACACAATGCATCACAGTCCTCATACTCGAACTCCTGAGGCACAACACATATTATATACGCTGCCATCATCCTGATACTCAAACCTATTCAACACTACACAATACACACCTGATCGATGTCACGGCCCAGTTCATACAGCAGAGCGATGGTCTCTCCCACAGCGATCCTGAAGTCCACATCACTGCTTTCTAAACACGCATGCAGACGTGGCAAGTGGCTGAAATATAGACAAAGAGAAAGATTATATTACAAACAAATTGGACTCTCTGTATTCTTATTTGGGTGAATAAAAAGCCATGTGACAACACCCAGATAAAGTATTACATAAAAACATTGGATGCGTAAACCTGTCTATATCGGCCCAATGTCGGCATCCGAGTTTGAACGGGTGAAGGTCTCTACGCATTACTGTCTTTCCGTGTGGCAAAATAATTTCATTCTCTTTTGAGCTTTTGTCTGACTCCATTTTATCACAACCTCGAATTTAGGTTAGATTGCCAACTGGTATTATATTTCTGTTAAAACTCTTTACTTTGTTTTACCCCTTCATTAGGAATCTATGCGGACGTGGACGATTCGGAATCGATTCACAAATGTCAAAAATTGATTTTAAATAACGTAATATTGACAGAACGTAAAAGTCTAAACTCTAAAGTGCAGTGCCCAGACAGTCTGTGGCATGCACATAACAGAGACGCATGATGGCCGAGCACGAAATCTGAACGGCACCCTCTTTCTTAAAAGCTAACCTATGGAAAATTGGCATAATTTCATTGTGGCCAATTTTATATTTTTGTATGAGAGCTGCTTTCTTTGTTTAGTTTTCACATCGATATGCTGTAAAAAAAAAAAGTTTACTGTAGCCTACTGCCCTCCAGTCACAGTGTGTATCAGTGCAATGCCAGTCACAAAAAGTTACATTTTGACTGTGCTCTCTACAGATGATCATGTATTTTTCTTTTGTATAAGCTGTTTTTAATTATTCTCTACAGCTAAAATTTCAAGTAATTTTTTTTGCAAATAACAGAAGGATGTTGGTTAGAAGCCTAACCCTAACCCTATTATTTTATCTTAGAGATCCAGGAATATGCTGAAGTTCGTTTTTACATTTGTTTATTCAATTTCTTGTATACTACTGTTAAATACACCTACTGTGAAAAAAAGGTTTTTATTTCATTTGTATATTGTATTTGTAATATGCATCTTTGTTCTTGTTTTTAATAACAAAGATAAAATAATCACCCACCCCTATTTTGGCCTAAATGGTTTTATATTTTGTTACCTTTTAAGACAACATTTCTAAAACAGGGAAATTAGTTGGATGTTCTGCTCAGTCACTTGCAAAATAGTAAAACCAACATGAAAAAAATTGTGATAAAATAATAGTGATTGTCCTAAAAAAAAAAATGGTGATATGATATTTTGGTAACGCTTCCTTTTACAGTCCAGTCACCCATGTAAATACTATGTACTTATTTCAGTAACTACAATTACTGGGTAATAACTAGTACTAATCTTGAACCTACCCCTAAACCTACCCCTGTTCCATGTACTTACCTTATATTAGCCAGTACTTTCTAGGTAAGTACACTGTAAGTACTGTACTGTAAAAGGGAGCATTACCGATATTTTTGCCCTCGTTATTAAGTTTGTAAAGTTTATACAAAGATGTGTTTTCTTGCATGTGAAACTCACTGGCTGAGAATGGTGTCGATGCGTGACGCAGGGCAGAGGGTGCAGAGCAGAGCCCAAGACTGTAGGGCGGCGCTGTGGAGCGCAGGGGTCCCAGCTTTGACAGAGGGCAGAGTGCCATCACCCAGGGGATATGCAGCCACAAACACACTCTCCAAATGTCCAAGAGATTTTATCAGGTCCTGAAAAAGACAGATGATACTTCTACAAACATGCAGACTATAAATATTAATTAGCTTTTTACGAGATCTGACTGTACCTCTGGATCGTCTGAGGCAGAGACGTAGCAGCAAATACCTAGAGCTCGAGCGCACTGACAAAAGATAGATATATAGTTAATCACATTTTAAAAGACAAAGCAATAGATCTAATAAAGGCCAATTTATACTTCGGCGTAGGGTGCGCGCAGTAGGGACGGCGTAGCATACGCACAGACGCGTCCCATACCGCGTACCCTTCGCCGTCGCCTGACGCGCACCTCTTCAAAAATGTAACTACACGTCGCGACGACGCGGACCGCAAGATCGGTGA